CACCTGAGAAAGAAACCACGTCGCACTTACCTCCGAAATGATCTCTGGAAACACTTCAAAGCGTGTCGAAAGCACATTCGCAAGGGCAATCCTACCAATTAGAACAACCAATTAAGATGTATTTGGTTTAAGATAATTTTGTAATAATTGTGTTCATGGGCATATTTTTATGTTAATGACGCCTTTCACATATAATTGCCATTATAAAGTACGTTATGCACTATATTTCGGTACCGTGATAAATTCTTTGTCATAACGACATGTCAAAAAAGTGAACATCAAACTGCGGCGCCCAGTATACAGTAATTGAATGTAACGTTCTTGCAACAGCAAATGTCATTCGAGGATATTGACAAGGGAGTCACCTCCACAAACGGAAGGAGAGTGGGAAAATGATTGGACAGCAAATCAACTATTACTTTAACTTTGTCTTCAATCAACGTCCTGATTGCAGAAGAAATGCGAAAATCTCCAATTCTGAGGGGACCCTAAGTTAGTTCACACATTAATTTCTTGACCTCGGGGGAGATATCGCAAAAGACAGCTGGGAAGTGAAAAACGAAAAGATATAGACCCCAAGTGTTGAAATCAGTTGATCGGTTATGGTTTCTCTAATGTCTCCGAAGCACAAGATTTCAAAGGAAACCCCAAGCCCGTCTCTGGACCTGTCATTCATACATTGTGCATTCTTATTTATTGAAACGAAAGTCGCGCAACAATGCATAGCATGTTACGAGTTATTTATAGTAAAACACTTGTTATGAGTTTGCATTAATCTCCAGCCAATATGAGGTTAATTCTGTAGAAATAAAACAAGTCTTCAATCTCGGTTGGGAACATTCAATGTCTGCAGAATTCTAGACCTGTGAAACAGCTGGCCTGCAAAAAGATGTAATAAACATTACCACTTTTAATATTCATATTGACATTTGTCTTTTACATTTCCGTCTGTTTCATGTAATTTCATTTAACATGTTTACATCATTTGGCCCTAATGACCTCGTTTGTGTTGATAGGCCGTGTTGAATAAGAATAAATTGTAACGGCGGCCGTTATAAAAAGTCCTCAAAACTACATCTGCAGTCGGAAATGATACTTATAGAAGTCAAGGTATTGTTCAAAAAGGCATAACACATCTACATACCGTTTGATCGAAATCTGTCAATATTGAAATTATGTATCTATGAATTTAGACAGTTATTGTTGATTTTAAAGTATAAAAACTGACTGTTTAAAAGCTACGGAAAACATGATTTAGTTGCGTGAATCCATTAAAAGGAAATAGTACGTGATATCGAAGGTGACATTTCACATTTTGTCTGTTAAAAACACATTTTGTCTGTTAAAAACACATTTTGTCTGTTAAAAACATATTTTGTCTGTAAAAACACATTTTGTCTGTAAAAACACATTTTGTCTGTTAAAAACATATTTTGTCTGTAAAAACACATTTTGTTTATTAAGACAAGGACTGTCATCGGATCTCTACACACCTCATTCAGTAAATGACTGTAGTTTAAAATTGCTGAAAACATTCAAAACATATTGATGAATATTCGGTGCAGGTGTTTCATTAGTGCCATGATGGATTTTGTACCAGGTTTGTACGTCAGTATGATTATTCCAATTGTATGAGTGTTGTTAGCTAGTTTAACTTTTGTGTCGTGCTGTCAGATTTTCTGATATACCCCCTCTGCTTTGAGTGTTTTTGTTGAGTGTTATGACTTTTGTTTTTCGTTGTTGAGACTGCGTCATGTCTCTCGATTCATGTAAACTAATGCACAAGACGATGCACATTCTCAGTGTTATTTCCACCAAATTTCACCATTTTTACTAGAGAATGTCTATGCTTTCAAACCCATTTGTATTGCATTATGTTAATGACTTCAGGGTTTCCTTAAAGGGCTCTCACAGTTCAATCATTTAGCAAGTGTTTCTCATCTTTTCCCTAACCTAAAATCTGTTCCGGTTGAAAAATGTATTAAATGTGTAAGTGTTGACATTATGTTGAATGAAATTAAAATGTGTTATATTTTATTTGGAACATTGCAAAATTTCAGTATCTTTTCTTTTCCTGATGGCGGATTTATAATAGCATCTTGTCGTTTCGACCGTTCTCAAAATATATCATTCACAACAAGTGTTGAACTTGAGGAACTTGAAATTTTGTGAACGATCGGTCAGGTACTTCTTGAGAAGTAGCGATAACAAACTTGAACACAAAAATTCAAGTACAAATATGGTCAAAGAAAACCTTTCATATCCAATTTGAGAAAGATCCGTTCAGTGCTTTTTCTATTCCGATCATCTTTCGTCCGTCGTCGTGCGTAAACTTTTTACATTTTTATCTTTATAGAAACAGTGGATAGATTTGTTTTTTAAATTTGGTCAGAATCTTTCTTGGTAGAAGAGGGTACACTAACCCAGGGGTCCAGGGCGGGACCCAAAGGGGAAAAAACAAATATTTCAACAATCTTCTTCCACAGACTCAGTTGTACTTCAACGAAAGTCAGATGATAAAATGTATACAAAATGGTAACAAGAGGTATAAGAACAAATTCTAAAAAGTGACAAGAAAATTACATTTGATCTCAAAATTGATTTTCAACAAAACTTTTATCACTCTCGCCAAGTGACGAAATAAATTCGAATTTGGAATTGTTTGTGACCTAACATACACTGAAATGTTTATTGTAGGCTTGCAACCAATTTCCTCACCAATTACCTGTAATCAGGTGCATTGCTTTTTGGTGGACGCCATGGAGGTGCCTTAGGCAATCATTTTGTTTGGGTACACAGGTTACTTTGGTTGTGCGAAATGAATACTTTTCCACCATTTTTTTCGGACTGATTTTTTGCATACGTATTTGACATAACACCACTTAAAGTTTAAACATATTTTATTGTACAAATATACAAATGGATCGGACAACAAGCTATTACAACTAAATACAAATGGTAAATACAATGTATATGTTTTTGGGGAACGGGAGGAGGATAGGGTGGATAAGGAAGGGTATGGAGGTGGAAGGGAGGGAGGGGGTAGGGAATGGGGGGTTACCTAGAAAAGAAATCGTGTAAACTGTGAAAAGGATCCGCATTTGAATAAATTATAAATTATACAAAATTTCATGACATGCAGCCCGGTATAGTAATTTTATAATGAACAAAATCAATGTAATAAAGTAATCAGGCAAAATAATGAAATGCAATTTCATAAACATATATAACAACGTACACATATAAATATAAATAAGGAATGATAATTATAATTATCAAAACATATTGCTAGATTTGATGTAATGATGCACTTGTTTAAAAACTTTTGTATTGGTTTCTACCGAAAGTTGGGTTTACCAGACATACAAAGCATTCAAATTTTGGAACAGGATGCACTCATAAAAGCACTGAAAGGCATTTTCACAGGGATGGCCACACTATCAACAAGATTTACCCTATAAAGATCATATTTAAGTGGACTACACTGATATTTAAGTTTTGTATGCAAAATGTTTAATTTAAGTTCACCGAAACCTAAGTAGATTGGCGGAGGAGATAGTACATTTGAAGTTAACGAGTTGTTAAAGGAATGTAAAGAAGTCAATGGTCGTACTGAAAGGTCCAATGAATTTCAACTACGAAGAGTTGAAGGTATAAAAGATGAATTTGTTAGAGAAAGCCTGAAAGGAAGAACTCTATAATCATTATTGTTTAGAAGGGTGTAACGATTTTTTTCTGCAACGGTAGACGTCAATAGATCATTTAAATAGAACCACTCCTTCATACTATGAACATTTTTGTTATACAATAATAATAAAAATGAAAAATTCTGTTTTACATTAAAACTTTCACAAAATGTTCGATTAAACTCACACTCGATATTAGGTATATTATTAAAACATGACATGAAAGAAAATATCCTTTCCCAAGTAAAACGATGCAAAAAATACGATTTTTTTGTTCAGAAAAATACTGTCAGGCTGATATTCTATTTTTCGACGCCCTCGCTGTAATTAGGTTAATTAATCATCTGAATAATTAGAAGTGTGATTCAAAGTAATAACTCAAGATGGATAAGGGATTGAAAAAAGTTAAAACAGCAGCATAAATCTCGTAGAACTTCTGAATCAAAAATTATGAGGGGGCAGGCTCCTATGTAATTTTAACATAGCTGGAAATAGTCCCTTTGGTGGGAATAGATATGATGAAATTGAAATCAAATCAGAAAGTAAGGTCCTGACCAACTCCAAGGATTGGACAGAGAGGAAAGCTGGTCAAATTACAATATAGATATTATATTTACCCTTACAGGTGGGGGAAAGAGAAATTAATGCCCCTGCTGTTACCCACGTCATGTATTGTAAGATGCGACTAATGCAGGAACCCCCTGCAGAATTGGAGATTTGCTTTTGAGACGTCTATTTGGGGGCACAAAAGCGACCAAAACAATCTGCTGCATCAGTTGCAATAGTTAGGATCTTTGTATTTCTCTCAACTTCTAATTACATTTATTTCCTAGCGCCTTCATTGGTAATACCTCACTTTTGGCTTTAACGTTAAACGTTTGCCCAGGTGAGGAAGGCGATGGGTTCTGTCTGTTCCCTGGGCGGGATATAACGAATCCTTTATAAAAATCAGCATTTAGGGTAATTACAACAACTAGTTCACCCGTTGTCAGTATAATGTGACCAGCCGGAGAGCTGAAATGTGTGCCTTCGGCATGGTATTTCAGTGAGATAGCACTTTTATGCCGACATCAGATCCGCACGATCACAAGGAGGCAATTACACCAAAATACCCTGTCTCTAGCACACACATGCACACTTACACAACACACATGGAGGCACGTCCTTAAATGACCTAAGCTGTTAATAGGACTTTAAACAAAATTAAAACCAAAACCAAACAATATAAGATATAGGTAAAACAACACTTTTATTTTCTGGTAAAATCTCCTTACAAAGCAAAAAACGTAAAAAAACACCTACATTTTACCCCGTCTTAATTTTGATAAATGTTTAGGTACGATGGTCCTCCTTTGATTATGGTAGACTACAAATAAGAAGTAATGAAGCACCTATTCAAAAATTCAGCAAAGTCAGAACAGGAAAAGAGAAGTAAACATTCACTGAATCCTTGTCCATTTTGTCCATATTTGACGATATTAAAGGTAAAAGGAATTAATATTTATGTCAAAATATTCCAAAAAATATAGAAAATGCGTCAACCATTTTCTTTGTGACGTTGCAAATTTCAACACATACTAAATGTTAAACTCGTATTTCATTTACACCATGGCAGGGTTACTCCTAGTTCCAATTTTACATGTTTTTAACAAATGGTCTTCCACACGTCTTTTACCAGTTGCGGATTCACGCCATGTGACGTCACAAACCAATCGGATTTATAATTGCACATATTTGGAGTTATAAAGAATCGATGAAAGCCCCCAATATTTACAAAACGGAAGCCAAGTTTATGTATACAAAAAGCAATGTAAATATCCTCAATAGGAAAAAACGGGATGTTTTCAGAAATTTCTAAAACACATTTGGCGACAGTCATGCTCATGATATATGCCGTTCCCGAGCAGTAAGTAGGATAATACTTGCCAGGGTAGGTTTCTATGTCGACATAAAACTTAGAGTCCTTGTCTCTGACCGGGAAAGCCATGTTTGGGCATGTACCACCTACAGCAGAGAGTAGAGCTTTTGCATGCGTTTTTAAAGACTTCAAAAGGCCTGGAATGTTGACGTACACATCATCGTCAGTTTTCAAGATATGCCAGGCATGTGCACACCTTGTTTTAGCCCATTTCAACGCCATCATTGTTTTGTACGTCAGATTTTTGTAGGAATCGATAAAAATTTCCTGCAATATGTCATGATAGATGCCATTCTCCTGCTTTATTTGTACATTCTCTGTCTGACTTGCCGATATTCCTAATAAAAAGGCATATCGAACATTCCCTTTGTTGTTTTTAGTGTCTGTAAGCCATGACGTTCGCATAGCTTCACGCTGACTATAATGCGCATGCGTAGTCGTTACCAATATCAACACGTCTATATCCGCCTCGTAGCCCGATTCTTCTGCAGTGTTACAAATATCTTCATTATCAAGGAGAAGGGTAAAGTTATGCAAGAAGCATTTGTCACATAGCTGTGGCCTCGTTGTAAGGTTTTCCGTGTTGACGGTTTTGGTGGCAATCACTGTTTCAACGGGATTCGCGTTAGCGGTAAGGACACGGCGACCTCCCACAGCCTTCTTACTCTGAGTCTTTGTTATCAAAATCATGTGATAGAAAATCGTACTAATTATTGTGCAAAATACGAGAACAATGAATATATAAAATAGTTCATTATATGCAGCAAATTTTATTTTCCGGAATCTTCTCCCCATTATGATGGGAGGTTCTAATTGATCATCCGCTGGCACTTTTTGTTTTAAATAACACCTTTGAGTAAATGACACTGTGAAAATCTTCGTTTTCGTTTTCTTTTTGGTGCCAACCAGATGAAACTCTTCGTTTTATATTTCTGTTTAGTGCTGACCAGGTGAAACTCTTCGTTTTATAGTTCTGTTTAGTGCCGACCAGGTGAAACTCTTTGTTTTATATTTCTGTTTAGTGCCGACCAGGTGAAACTCTTCGTTTTATAGTTCTGTTTGGTGCCGACCAGGTGAGGTATATTCACGATCTCTCTTTCAAAAGGTACATACCAGTATTTGCATCTACAAATTATAAAACATGTATTAGTTTTATATAAATACAAGCTAAACGAAACATAATATATATAATATTTTCCTTTTCTGAAACGACAATCAAAACGAACTAGAACAGTGATAAGTTGGGCTAGACTCGAGGGTGAATTCTGGTAGCATGATTGTGTCTGTTTCTTCATGCTAAGCAAGTACATACCCATGTAGCACACTGCATTAAACTACCAGGGTAAGGGAAGGAACCCTTAGATAAATGCGGTAGCATATTATATGTTACATTTCATGCCAAGTATTTCTATTGTAAAAAATGGTATCTACTATTTCCATGTTTTGACCAAGGGGCCATAGGGCAATCATTCTTTCATTAGTGTATTTGTGATTCCATCCATGCAATGACTCAGAAACCAGATAGGATATTTTGTAAGTCCCATAGGCTTTCCACGTTTATTGCTTATGTATTCTCCTCTCCATTCTAAACAAATAGGTATATATGTTATAGGGTGGATATCACAATAATTTCCAAACTAGTATACCTGCAAGTCACAAGTATTTACCATGCTGCCATCTTCCGCTCGACCATTCCTTTTGATGTTTCAGCTAATCGGAGCATAACAGTGACCTTGATCCTAAAATTTACATTCTGCCGTTAATTTTAAAATTATATCCACTATGTATCACTCTTACAAAGTATTAACAAAATTGGCCTCATAGCATTGAAGTCGTCATGTAAATTTTTCAACCAATCAGAGGCCATATCAGCCACCTTGAATAAATTTATTTGAAAGTAAGCCTTTAATTAAAGTATACTCATTTATATAAGTTTAACAAAGTATTAACTAAGTTGGACTTATAGAACTCAAATGATAACCGTTATTGACTTAGTCAATAAGAGGCCATGGTTGCTATCTTGAATTCCGAGGTTTAAAGTCGACAGTCTAAAGAAGACTTAAAATAGCAAGTAAAATATTGGAATGATGTTGAATCTACCGGTACAACTACATGATGTACACACATACAAAGATTTCATGAAGTCAGCTTATTTCAGTTGATATTGTCAGGAGAAGTTTGTCCGAACACGACCCCATCCACGGGCAGGCGGACAGACATAGCCGAGCTGAATCCAGCTACTACACCCCCTAATGCCATAGCTGGGGTTTACAGTGTATAAGTATAACTCGTTTTTGCCCCCCGTCCTTCCCCACCCAGTTACATCGAAGTAAGCGGCAAAGCCCATCTATGTGAACATTATTAATCATCACCACATGATACATTGTAATGCATCCAACGAAAAATGGATGAGCACCCCCGCAAAAAATGCATGCATCAACAACATACACTAATGCACGTCCTTTAAATGACCTAAGCTGTAGTGCGTGAAACAAAATAAAACCATGACACACCAAAACTTTGTATCTTTTGTCAATTCCTGACGCTTTCTGTTCGTCTGTGTTGTCTACATGGGCACTTGGTTTGGTTTGGTTTTATTTTGTTTAACGTCCTATTAACAGCTAAGGTCATTTGAAGACGTGCCGCAATGTGTGTTGTGTATGCGTGCATGCGTGTATGTGTGCTGGAGACATGGTATGTTGGTGTACTAGCCTCCTTGTGAAAGTGTGAATCTAATGCCGACTTTATAGTGCTATCTCACTGAAATACTATAATTGGCTGAAAAGTATGTAAATATGAGAAAGAATTGAACCATCTTATAACATGTAAGATAGTGGGTATCGATAGAGAGCAGCACTTTGGTCAAAAATACATTTGAGGTCAAATCTCACGAGTTTGGTAACACCGCGCAGGGGTCTGTTGAATTGTAGATAGTGCTAAAGGGGTATCCATCTAGTGGTGACAAGGTCAGTTATGGATGAACTCCTAAAACCAGACAGGGGTAACTGTCATTGCCATACGGTATCTAATATTGTTGTTTTGGTAGGGGAAAGTTAGCCTAGAATTGTTGCACTTACCTCAATACTTATGTACAATAGATGGTACGTACCTACTCATGAAAAGTTAACGTTGTATAGATTCAGAAAAATACTTGGAGAAAATTTAAGAAGTAGTCCAGAGTTGAGAGTCGGGATTCGAGGTTCGGGAATGTGAGCCTCAGGAGAGAGAGAGGCCAGGGAAGGCCTCGGCGGGATGGGCCTAGGATGGCCCGGGTACAGCACTTGGTGTGCTTTAGAACTATGTTCTTGATGTTGTAACTCTATATCATCTCTGTGCAGGTAGATTTGCTGTCGTATTCAAAACTATGTTAAAAAGGACATTTGTTAAATTTAAGTGGGATCTTAGAAAGAGGGCCTACTCGATGTATTTACCCTTACTGTCGCGGTCACAACGTGAAGATAATTCATTGTGTTATGTAACAGATATTATTAATGCGGTTAATATTTGGACATGAAAGTAATTGCTTTTTCTCCGTAATTCACAAATCAAGTTGCACGTTATGTTGTCAAAGTGATATCAATAAGGCCAAGTTCGTACCCTTGACGTCTAAATGTGTTTGTGAGCACCTCACAATCCTGTTTTTGTATTGTACGGTGTCGTGATAATTGTATCATTTAAACATGGCTGTTTAATGGCTACTATTTCAGAGGTCAGTGCCATTGTTTTAGAGATCAAGTCATGCCGTTTATTATGCCACTAGGTCTTTTGTTGATTCAACACGGCATTTTCATCGTCGCAGATTTAGTATACATGTTAAATGAGTTCGTAAAAAATGGTGTACTTCTTCAAGATATAAATCGGTGATCCAATGACCTACGATGGACCTAAAGTGGTTTTATAGACAGGAAGGTTAGTCCTTACCAATATCCTTTAGCAAATTTTACTTGTTTTATCCCCTATGAGTGTCGCGAAATAAAGAAATATGATATTATATCAGGGTAAGCTTTTTTTAAAACAGTAAATATATTTTCTTAAAAAGGGTTGATTAATTGTGAAAACTGTTTGAGAACAATTTATGATTTAGAGTTAATTTAACAATTGAATGTTAGAGCATAGACTAAGTACATGTGTAATGCACAATTCATATGTATCACAAAACTATATTTGTTCAAACAGTTCACACAATATGGAAATGCAGAAAGAACGGTTTACTCACCTTATATTTTATATTCACCTAAACCATCTGAAATCAAACGGTGTACGATATTTATGTCTAGTTACAAAAAACCTAAGCACTGGGTTTGTGATCGTGTCTCATACCCATTGATTAAGAGATATGAATTAAAGCGCCACATTCTAACCGACAAAAGGAAGGAAAAAACACTACCAATATAGTTAACCCTAGTATTAAAAAACACCATAACATCAAGTTACATACCCGTTGTACTGAATGTATTTGTTTTTACTGCGTATCAGATGCACGAAACATTATTTAAAACAATACCTTCCTAGTCAAGTATAATGTCATCGTTTACTTGAAATCCTGTCTAGCTATTTCAATTTTTCATACAGAGATATCAGAACAGGAACAATAACCTTAGAGAACGCAGCTCTTTAAATGTACGATTGAGGTTTATACTCCACATAACTATTAGTGTCGTCATAACAAGTGTCATTCATACTTCTATACTCTTAGATTATCAAGGTAACATGTTGTTAAGTTGACTAGGCTTAAATGGACATAGATTATGACCAGACCGCACTATTATTGTGCGTGTTTATTCGACCAGATCACATTGTTCGCGGTCATTGATCATTTGTAAGAGATATCCTTCTTGTACAAGGATAAAGCTGTGTTATTGAAGTGACGTTTACAATAATATACTCTATGATGTCGAGTGTGTATGCGATTCTTGAGTCTGTTGGTAATTAAGAAGTCATTTAAATATGTAAACCCATTTGACTTTGAGAACGGGTCAATATCATTCATGATCACTTCAACAAACTTGACAACCCTTCAGCGAAAGTTGTTAGGAGTTGAACACTTTGTCGGGCTCTATCCCACGAACTACCATTCAAATATCATGATTCTGGTACTTTTGATTACTCAAAGGAAATTTGTGACCGTGAAAGTGGTATTGTAGCCGTCCCATGTTGTAAGTTAAGATCGGGGAAAGCGGCTGATGTAAAAGAATCAGCAGTGTCTTTCATTTCTAGCTCAGGAGGGTATATCCGATCGACAGTCAATACATATCTTGTTGTTTCAAGACAGCTTATCGTCTGTATATCTAAAAGGATGGTGTCTATTCAAAACATACTTCGTCCGTACAATAAAGAAACTTTATCAATTATATGCTGATATATTTCACCTTTAGAAATATTTCGAATGTCAGATGATAGTTCATGTTTATAAACATTGTGAAATCTTTGTTTAATCACACGCCATTTTCTTATGACAATCTGTATTCCATAAATTGTTTAATCCTAATATTCAATATCCAACTATAATTATATGCTATCCTTTCGTCAAAACATGTTTTTAAAAGAAAATCATTTGTAGCCTTCAGCTTTAACCAATATTTAAATGACCATAGCTGTTGATAGGACGTTAAACAGTACTAAACCAAACCCAGCCTACAGACAACAAGGGGCCGTCCTAGCTCACAATATACTAGATAGACCAGTCAGCCTACAGACAACAAGGGGCCGTCCTAGCTCACAATATACTAGACTATTACATGTTCTTTTGTTTACACTCAGTAATCTTTTCCGTGTGTTGTACATCGCCTTAGAGTAATTTTGCAAATTATATAGGGCGCTATATAAATCTTGTATATTATCTTCATTTATTATTATTCGAAGGTTCGTGATAGTTTGAATGTATTGTCAGCGTGTTTGCTATCAAATTACCTTTTAAATATTTGACCTTGACCCACATTTAAGATGTGAAATATATCAGCAAACAGCATCGTATACCGCCTAAGGATGCAAGCTTAATTTGGTATTTGTTAAGGTTCGAGACGAAGTAGGACTCGTTTGAAAAGTGTTATATTACAACGTCAAACGGCGAAGAAAAACTGAAAAGATACTTGCGCTATATTATGTGTCAGAGATTATACGCCTGTCAACATGATGCCGCGTCCTTTGTCCAGCGTTGAGCGATTTTTACGCGATAACTTTCCTAGATATGGCTAATCAAAGGAATTTCAGTCATTTTAAATAATAATAATATTAAAAGTAAACAAATGGTGGTGGGGTGGTGCAGTGGTATAGGGCATTTGCCTTTCACCAAGGCGGCCGGTGTTCTATTCCCCGATCGGACGTGAAAAGGTATTGAGTCACCTGCCCGAACACGTGGGTTTTCTCCAGGTACTCCGGTTTCCTCCCACAGTAAGACCCCTCGCGCGCTAACATCCGGGCCAACAAGAGTGATTAGTATATGTTGTAAAAATTTGTTTCATAATTGTTGTAAAATAAATAAAGTTTATAATTAGCTAGAATAATCCACTCTAAATCGCTGTACAGTACATAGATATACAATTTATATAGTCGATACAATTAGCATTCGAATTTACCTCAATTTTGAGGAATTCGTAGGAACTGCCTTACCAGGCGCTAACTGCTAGTCCTATGTCACCTGGCTAATATCTCTCTATGTGTTTATGCCTGCGTGTGTGCTTGAAATGTATTTTGTTCTGTTTGTAGTGGGACAGTGCTTCCCACGGTATCATTTATAGTGCCACCTCGCTTGAAAGCTACAGCACAGATATCTCAACATCCACCCCAGACCAATTTATACCCCACCTCTGGGTTGTTGGAGTTGTGTGAGCAGGAGAGAAAAAACTTTACTTGTATATTCGGGATCGAACTCCGGACGCCTGCGTGGAAGACCGAAGTGTTACTCACTCCACCGATCATTTCATTAAACAAAAATGTAACTGTCTCTCAACTAAATACTACTCAAAGGTAGTTTTCGGCGTTCTCATGGTTGCCTTCCTCAGCCCTGAGATAAGTTAGGGGATTCAGACGAATTTGCTGATTCAGGCATATAACTGAATCAGACTGGTATTGGCTGGCGGTAGCTGGTCTTGGTTCAGGTCTGCACTGGTTGCTGCGATGTAGATTGCCTCTTTAATCCTCTCTGGAACCAGTGGAGGTATTGGTCCAGAATGAATTCTAATGTTGGGAGCCCTAAAAGAGTGCGATCTTTGTGTCAGGTGAGCTCCGGACTGGTGATAAGTCTCTATGTTGTTCTGAGACTCGTCTCCGAAGGCTTTTTACAGACTGACCCACATGTGTTGCTAAGCAAATTCAAAAGGAAAAGTTTACAGATCCATTATCATATATTTTACCCGCTACGGCAAAAAGAAGTTCATGTCCTGTCTGTATTGGTGTTTTAATGCAGGGACTCTAACAGTTAGTGTTGGACAACACACTGAGGAAGGCAAGAGTAGCGTAACATAATTATGTTAGTACAGCTCATGTGCATGCCCCTGCAATCAAAGGATTTGTTTTTGGCATCAGTCTATCCATTACATGTTTTGTATTAGCGACAGCATATTACAGACTCGTGCTAGATTTCATTTACAGCGACAAATATATCAGTAATTAAAAAGTGTAACTAATAAGGATTTCTTTATTTTTGCTCATTATAGGCAATAAAGTGAAATAACCTTCGAGTGCCTTTTGAGCATAGCACAGTAGTCATATTATTCGGCAAAGTGTTGAATGTGCATAACAGTAGATTTGGTTTGGCTTTGTGTCTGGTTTTATTGTGTTTAACGTCCTATGAACAGCGAAAGTCATCTAGGACAGTTTGCAATGTATGCGTGTATGTGTGTATGTGTGTATGTGTTGTGTGTATGAGTGCTTGTGTGTATGTGTGCTTGTGTGTATGTGTTGTGTGTATGTGTGTTTGTGTGTATGTGTGTATGTGTGTATGTTGTGTGTATGTGTGTATGTGTGCTTGTGTTTATGTGTGTATGTGTGTATGTGTGTATGTGTGTATGTGTGCTTGGGTGTATGTGTGCTTGTGTGTATGTGTTGTGTGTATGTGTGTATGTGTGTATGTGTGTTTAATTGTATGTGTGTATGTGTGTATGTGTGTATGTGTGTTTGTGTGTTTGTGTATATGTGTGTTGTGTGTATGTGTGCTTGTGTGTAGGTGTGTATGTGTGTATGTGTGTTTGTGTGTATGTGTGCTTGTGTGTATGTGTGTTTGTTTGTATGTGTTGTGTGTATGTGTGCTTGTGTGTATGTGTGCTTGTGTTTTTGTGTGCTTGTGTGTATGTGTGCTTGTGTGTATGTGTGTATGTGTGTATGTGTGCTTGTGTGTATGTGTGTTTGTGTGTATGTGTGCTTGTGTGTATGTGTGCTTGTGTGTATTTGTGTATGTGTGATTGTGTGTATGTGTGTATGTGTGCTTGTGTGTATGTGTGTTTGTGTGTATGTGTGCTTGTGTGTATGTGTGTATGTGTGTATGTGTGTATGTGTGTTTAATTGTATGTGTGTATGTGTGTATGTGTGTATGTGTGTATGTGTGTTTGTGGGTATGTGTGTATGCGTGTTGGTGTGTATGCGTGTTTGTGTGTATGTGTGTATGTTTGTTTGTGTGTAAGCGTGTATGTGTGTTTGTGTGTATGTGTGTTTGTGTGTATGTGTGTATGTGTGTTGGTATGAAAGTGTGTATGCGTTTATGTGTGTTTGTGTGTATGTGTGTAAGCGTGTTTATGTGTATGTGTGTTTGTGTGTTTGTGTGTATGTCTGTTTGTGTGTTTGTGTTTATGTGTGTTTGTGTGTATGTGTGTTGGTGTGTATGTGTGTTTGTGTGTTTGTGTGTATGTGTGTATGTGTGTATGTGTGTTTGTGTGTATGTGTGTTTGTGTATATGTGTGTATGTGTATATGTGTATATGTGTGTATGTGTATATGTGTGTATGTGTGTATGTGTGTATGAGTATATGTGTATATGTGTGTATGTGTGTATGTGTGTTTGTGTGTTTGTGTGTATGTGTGTTTGTGTGTTTGTGTGTATGTGTGTTTGTGTGTATGTGTGTATGTGTGTATGCGTGTTTGTGTGTTTGTGTGGTTGTGTGTATGTGTGTTTGTGTATATGTGTGTATGTGTGTATGTGTGTATGTGTGTTTGTGTGTATGTGAATATGTGTGTATGTGTGTATGTGTGTTTGTGTGTTTGTGTGTATGTGTGTATGTGTGTATGTGTGCTTGTGTGTATGTGTGCTTGTGTGTATGTGTTGTGTGTATGTGTGCTTGTGTGTATGTGTGCTTGTGTGTATGTGTTGTGTGTATGTGTGCTTGTGTGTATGTGTGCTTGTGTGTATGTGTTGTGTGTATGTGTGCTTGTGTGTATGTGTGCTTGTGTGTATGTGTTGTGTGTATGTGTGCTTGTGTGTATGTGTGTTTGTGTGTATGTGTGTATGTGTGTATGTGTGTATGAGTATATGTGTATGTGTGTATGTGTGTTTGTGTGTTTGTGTGTTTCTGTGTATGTGTGTTCGTGTGTTTGTGTGTATGTGTGTTTGTGTGTAGGTGTGTATGTGTGTATGTGTGTTTGTGTGTTTGTGTGGTTGTGTGTATGTGTGTATGTGTGTATGTGTGTTTGTGTGTATGTGTGTTTGTGTGTTTGTGTGTTTGTGTTTGTGTGTATGTGTGTTTGTGTGGATGTGTATTTGTGTGTTTGTTTGTTTGTGTGTTTGTGTGTATGTGTGTTTGTGTGTATGTGTGTTTGTGTGTATGTGTGTTTGTGTCAATGTGTGTTTGTGTGTATCTGTGTTTGTGTGTATGTGTGTGTGTGTTTGTGTGTATGTGTGTTTCTGTGTATGTGTGTATGTGTGTATGTGTGTTTGTGTGTTTATGTGTATGTTTGTTTGTGTGTATGTGTTTGTGTGTATGTGTGTATGTGTGTTTGTGTGTTTGTGTGTGTATGTGTGTTTGTGTGTATGTGTGTATGTGTGTTTGTGTGTTTATGTGGATGTGTGTTTGTGTGTATGTGTGTATGTGTGTATGTGTGTTTGTGTGTTTATGTGTATGTGTGTTTGTGTGTATGTGTGTATGTGTGTATGTGTGGGTGTGAGTGTGTGTGTATGTGTGTTTGTGTGTATGTGTTTGTGTGTTTGTGTGTATGTGTGTTTGTGTGTATGTGTGTTTGTGTGTTTGTGTGTTTGTGTGTATGTGTGTTTGTGTGTTTGTGTGTTTGTGTGTATGTGTGTTTGTGTGTATGTGTGTTTGTGTGTATGTGTGTTTGTGTGTATGTGTGTTTGTGTGTATGTGTGTTTGTGTGTATGTGTGTTTGTGTGTATGTGTGTTTGTGTGTATGTGTGTTTGTGTGTATGTGTGTTTGTGTGTATGTGTGTTTGTGTGTATGTGTGTTTGTGTGTATGTGTGTTTGTGTGTATGTGTGTTTGTGTGTATGTGTGTATGTGTGTTTGTGTGTTTGTGTGTATGTGTGTTTGTGTGTATGTGTGTTTGTGTGTATGTGTGTATGTGTGTTTGTGTGTTTGTGTATATGTGTGTATGTGTATATGTGTGTTTGTGTGTTTGTGTGTATGTGTGTATGTGTGTTTGTGTGTTTGTGTGTTTTTGCGTATGTGTGTTTGTGTGTATGTGTGTTTGTGTGTATGTGTGCTGTCGGCAGCTTTTGCTGATTATTGGGTGCGACTTTAAAGTGCTATCTCACTGATACACCATGCCCAAGTCACCAAGTACAATATTCCACTCAGTCTTATTTTACTGATAAAGAGTTAACCAGTTGTTGTGATTACCCTTATTGCTGAACATTAAACAGGGAAGACAATAAGAGTAGAAAATAGAAAAAGGGTAAGAAAACGTGTAATGCTGTACATATGACGTGAAGTTTAGAAAATACTGTAACTGCAGAGTCTGATTTGTTATTTGTTTGCAGAGAAAAAAATACCCACAACACATTTGTATTAAAATAAAAGTTTATGAGTGTTTCGTTTTCAGTTAATACATATTAATTTCTCTTTCATATCATTGCTCGTCAGGGAGTAGACATTATTCTATTACGCCTGTGTTTGGTTTTAATACATAGATAACTTAAAGGACTGCATACTCATTCAAATGATCACACGTTACAAAGATACTTCCGGTACACTCATTCAAATGACCATATGGAACAAGCGAACACACTAAATCAAACAAATAATTTTGGTTCACACATGTAAGGGCGTAATCCTGACAAACACATAACACATACATTGTACTTCGGGACAACCAATGTAATGTGTTCAAAGCGGGAAAACCAATGTAATATGTTCAAACTGGGACAAACAATGTAATATGTTCAAACACATCTAATCAAACCGCTCATGATCCCAAATGAATACTTTATTTGAAACTCACTCATTAAAATGAACGATTCAAAGACAAACGTTGAAGTGAACAGTGTTCTTCTCATGTTGGTTATGTTAAAGAGATAAAATTGTTCAAAAGTCTCAATCTTCTTAACCTCCTCGACTGAAAATCCATAGAATCCTAGAAACATAATGTAAAAAAGTACCAGAATCGAAAGATCAACGATCATTAACCCATTGAGTCTCGTCCATAAGTTGGAGAGGCTGATGTCACAGAGGCCGATGACATCGGGCTATTAATCGTCACTTTGTATGTAATCATTGCGTGAATCTACAGACTACACACTTGTAGATATCATCCTATCACCATTATGTAACAAAAAGGTCACGGAGTTCGCATCAGCATACCATGTTTTTCTTTAACGTTTTGAGCGCCATATATATCTATGTTAACCTAATGCTGTCACCGGCTGTCAATTTCTGTAACTACAATGTATTTACGATTTCTGCCATTGATTTCGACTGCAAACATGTGCTGTCATCGATTGTGGATTTCTTTAACTGTTCACGTTTACATTATTGAAACTATATGGAGCCAGTGAATAAAGCTTAGACATCCGGACATTTAGAATATTACGCGGAGAAAAAGAAACGAACATCCCCTAGTCATATTGCAATAATATTTCGCTCTTATTTGTCATGTTCAACAGGTTTGTTCAGTGGAGTAAGCACTTCTTACACTGATATAAGCCAGATATCAGGTAATCTCTTTCCACATCTGATATGCATAATGACATGTCATAACTCATGTTTTTAAACATTGGGTTCTTCTTATTGGGACTGAAATATCGGTAAGTTCTTTTCATAATTTCTTCATTGCATAGCGTTTCGGCGGAAATCCAGTCTTGGAATGTTTGGTAACTTTGGAATTCGTGGAAAACCTGGAAATGGAGTTAAAGTTGGTATAGGGAAGCGTTTGATCGGGCCTGGCTGCCTTGAGCCACAATTGTTACCGGTGAGATCAAATATTCCACCTCCAGTTCCGCCAATCTTCACATCTCTTTGAGATCCAGTGCATGGCTGTCCACATGGACTCGGGGCTGGATTATTACATTGTCTCGTCCTTGTGCTCACAGGGATACATCCTTTTGCCACAGACCAAGCTGACCAGGAGCTCAATTGACCATCGATAGGTATACATAAGGCCAGGTCCGGGTTTGGAAAAGATCCACAGTTTATCGCAGGATTGCTGAAAAAAAAATTAGTTATAGTAACAAGTGAGTATGAAGGGGTTTAAAAGGAAGCAAAAAGGAAGCAAGGTAATAATAAGGATAGGAATTAAGGTAACAAATCAGAGTAAGAAGACTTGCAAGTCAGCAAAAGGAAGTAAATTAACATATCAGAGATAGGAAGCAGGGTAACATGTCAGAGAAAGGAAGTAAAGTAACACGTCAGAGACAGGAAATAGGGTAACATGTCAAAGAAAGGAAGTTAAGAAACACGTCAGAGACAGGAAATAGGGTAACATGTCGGAGAAAGGAAGTAAAGTAACACGTCAGAGACGGGAAATAGGGTAACATGTCAGAGACAGGAAGCAGGGTAACATGTCAGAGAAAGGAAGTAAAGTAACACGTCAGAGACAGGAAATAGGGTAACATGTCAGAGAAAGGAAGTAAAGAAACACGTCAGAGACAGGAAATAGGGTAACATGTCGGAGAAAGGAAGTAAAGTAACACGTCAAAGACGGGAAATAGGGTAACATGTCAGAGACAGGAAGCATGGTAACATGTCAGAGAAAGGAAGTAAAGTAACATGTCAGAGACAGGAAGTATGTGTGTGAGAGGCACTGACGTTACATTATTGAAATACCATACCAAAAACACGCACCGTAGAACTCCGCCTGGTCGCATTATACTGACAAAGGGTTAATAAAATGTTGTGAAATGTTCAACGTATCCACAGAACGACATTTACTTTAATACGGACATTGGTATGTCCGAGCATTGGAACAAAATAAGCAATAGTTGTGAACAAATCTTTATATATTGAATAGAACTCATATTCTCGATGGATTTGCTTTTGTTATATTCGCGACATGAAAATGAATTATGCGATAAAAACAACGCGCGAAATGGTTTGCCTTCCTGATAAATATTTGACCACATTTTGCCAGAAACAAAATCCTGAAAAACATTGACCTAAACAGCAACGTCGTATATATAACCTATGAATGCCTTGCTAGAGAAAACAAAGAGAACTCTTTCGATATCCTTACCTTGATGATTGCTTTCGGAATACATTTCGGGGAATGGATGTCACTCCTGTGGTGTCACATAAGATTTTCGCCATAGTTGTCTTCTTTATTTCATCTAACAGTTCAATCGGGAATTTGACGTTTGTATCACTTTCATAAAAGAATCTATCCCCCTTTTTCAGAGCTTGGAACTGTATGCCCACAAGACACGCAAATGTAGTGCCAATATTTCCCCCTGGAACGACTTCCTCTGACACGCCTCCCGTGAACAAGTCAATGTCAAACACAGTACTGAAATGACAATACAAAATCACTTAATAGAGAATCAGATTTTCCACATAAAACTACTAACAAAAATAAGGAGTCCACATATTTTGCTTGAATGAAGCATCGGCACATTGGTAGGAATGTCTGAAAGAACAATGATCAACGTTCATTGTCATTTGGTCTATTAATGTAGTTTGATTAACGCAAAACAAAAACAACTGCTATAGTATAAACCGTAGTGTTTGTACTTTGGAACGTAATGACGAATTTTTCCAATGGATAAAGGCCAAAAACAAAACCCCAAAATACGTTTAGTGTTGAACGTCTTGTCTTTAAATCAAAACCTTTTCATTTCTATCTTTTTATAATTATAACTGTAATAGCAATATTTAATAACCTGTTTTGAGTTCACACAACATTACGTAGAATTGTGGGTAGAGGGTTTTGTGTACGTTGTAAAACGTTTGTCCTAAACCTACTCACGTAGCGCAATATACAGATTTCAGCATAGAAAGACCTGTCACATAAATACATTATTCTGTTTATAGGGTGGGACTCATGCATAATGATATCAAATGACAGCCAATATATTTAATATCGTGAACGGGTTTAACATCTGAAAAAGTCATACGCAATGGTAAATGGAGAATAGATTAGAACAATAATTGTGTGTGATTTGACGTTCAATTTTGAAATACTTATTTTCTGATGTCGAATACCATTAAATAACAAAATGCTCTATGTTAATGATACATTTCCTCTGGACGCTTGAAAGCGATTTTATCGGTGAGATATGACCTAATATCAGGGACGATAGCAGGACTATGCTCAGACCAAATCAATCTCGACATCTTCCGTTGAACTTACTCGTATACTTTCTTCAGAAGATTTCTCATTGTGACTGAATGTAGATCCAATGCTTCAAAGTTCGAAGCAAGGTCTAGATTACACGCCACTCGCCACGTGTTATAATCAAATATACCGTGGTCACGTCCTCTCTGAATATTAGTAGCTGCCAGATCCATTCCATTTTTCGGAGCCGTCTGGAACAGATGTCTGGTTACCTCGTGCGTGACATGATTGTCTGTCTTTAGTGATGGCGAGTTGTACATTCCTGTCATTATGGAGTTGACACCTCCGTTGTAGGCGAGTTCTGGCTTGAGGAATGTAGTGTGGAGTCTGTGATTGAGGGTGGTGCCGGACGACTTTTTCTCTGTTATATCATCGGCTATCAAACTGTGGCCGAACCTAAAGGCAGCTGCCGAGAAGGCATTCCTGATCATTGGTTTGACGGCTGCGTTGTAACCAGTGTGGTACTGCCCGGCCGGCTTAGGTTTCAGATCAAACTGGTTCATTACGTTGGTCCCGAGGATTTCCTGAAGCCATTCATTGTAGGTGATGTGCTGAAGTTGGGCGCTAACGATTTTCTTAGTTTTTTGGAAGACATCGTCGTCATTCATGTCAGGGTTGGCGTTCTTCATTGTTCTAGCTACGTTGTTGTGGTGCCTCATCCACACTGTCTGGAGTGAAATCAAGGCTGGCTGTTGGTTCACTCGAACGTCTCCTGTTAATTAACAAATATATATATATATATATATATAAATGAATATTTACGATCCTATTATTGAACATCCCCGCCTAATCGGAGTACAATAGCCCAATCCCGAACCAATTTGATGTTTTGTAATATAACATAGCGAACATCTCGAATGTTATGTATGGAGATTTGCGATTGTTACAAGGGAGAAACCGTAACTTGATCTAAATAAATGGTACGCGTTGTTGTACTGAATCCATTAAACAGTTTAATGAAATAGCAAGTCAACTTGTCGACTTTGTTAATGCGATGAAACACATTTATTATGTGGTCGAAGTAATTTTGAATCCTTAAATACGTATGGCTTTAAGTTACTTTATTAAATACCAACAACGTGTCGTTCGCCTGTTTAATCTAATAGTGTAAATTCTTACCTGCTCTGAAACACTTAGTTCTAGAAGCCTGAGCACAAACAGCATTGGGGTTTAATGGCAGCAGGTCATTGTTGCCCTGAGATTGCAGGAACGCTTAAAACAAAGAATAGCAATGTAAATACAATTTACAATAGGAAATAATTCTACTATTTGGTATGTATTTAATGGGACATGTACTACAGTTCAAAGGTAAAAAAAAACGAATTTAAATGGTTTCGGTGATAGCGAAGAACGTTGAATTCAAATAATTAAAATGTTTTTGCAAAAAGCTAAGCCTTAAAAATGGTGGTTGTACTAAACTCCTGCAACTTATAGAGCCCCCTGCAGGCTTGGGGAAAGAATAGGCCTTATAGATGCCAATAATGTCGTAAAAGGCGACTGATTTGGGATTACTGTAGAATCGGGGGTTTTAGTCTGCGTCTGTTGTATTTACCAAGACCTTAAATGACAGCTAAGTGAGAGGTACAGTTCTGTTGTCCACAAAGTGCATACAAATCACGAAAGATCATATGTCGTATCACATGTTTGCAAAGCAAATAATAAGAATAGGCTGTTTTTGCATTTTTGTTTCTTAATGTTCTCGATTTTGATAATAAGAAATACGTTACATTGACATTCGATATAACAATAGCACGTCAAAAAATCCAAATGCCTGCATAAAACAACGAGAAAATAATCCAGGCACCTCATTACTGCTGACTCACTGAATACCTGTTTACGTCCAAGTTGGTGTACATCCGCGGTTACACTTACCTCCGTCACGAAGTAGTTTCTGCGTTGCTAGGTCGGAGCCGTATATTACCGATCCGTCTAAGAAGTGGGTCACTTGGTTTAACTGTTGACGAAGACCTTCCAATAAAACAGTATTACGAAAATGTAAGGTTATAAATTATAAATGTATCCAGGTACAATATATGTAGTAGGTAGTTGAACACTTATGCTAAGACTTATATAGATTTTGAACATAATGAAAGGACTTTGGACCTGATGAACATGACGCATTCACTAGTGCATCTTAATATACTAAGATCACTGACTGTTCTGTTTATCAAGCAGGGAAGTAACTCAATCATTGTCACTAAGATCACTGACTGTTCTGTATATCAGACAGGGAAGTAACTCAATCATTGTCACTAAGATCACTGACTGTTCTGTTAATCAGACCGGGAAGTAACTCAATCATTGTCACTAAGATCACTGACTGTTCTGTATATCAGACAGGGAAGTAACTCAATCATTGTCACTAAGATCACTGACTGTTCTGTTTATCAGACAGGGAAGTAACTCAATCATTGTCACTAAGATCACTGACTGTTCTGTTTATCAAACAGGGAAGTAACTCAATCATTGTCACTAAGATCACTGACTGTTCTGTTTATCAGACAGGGAAGTAACTCAATCATTGTCACTAAGATCACTGACTGTTCTGTTTATCAAACAGGGAAGTAACTCAATCATTGTCACTAAGATCACTGACTGTTCTGTTTATCAGACAGGGAAGTAACTCAATCATTGTCACTAAGATCACTGACTGTTCTGTTTATCAGACAGGGAAGTAACTCAATCATTGTCACTAAGATCACTGACTGTTCTGTTTATCAGACAGGGAAGTAACTCAATCATTGTCACTAAGATCACTGACTGTTCTGTTTATCAGACAGGGAAGTAACTCAATCATTGTCACTAAGATCACTGACTGTTCTGTTTATCAGACAGGGAAGTAACTCAATCATTGTCACTAAGATCACTGACTGTTCTGTTTATCAAACAGGGAAGTAACTCAATCATTGTCACTAAGATCACTGACTGTTCTGTTTATCAGACAGGGAAGTAACTCAATCATTGTCACTAAGATCACTGACTGTTCTGTTTATCAAACAGGGAAGTAACTCAATCATTGTCACTAAGATCACTGACTGTTCTGTTTATCAGACAGGGAAGTAACTCAATCATTGTCACTAAGATCACTGACTGTTCTGTTTATCAAACAGGGAAGTAACTCAATCATTGTCACTAAGATCACTGACTGTTCTGTTTATCAGACAGGGAAGTAACTCAATCATTGTCACTAAGATCACTGACTGTTCTGTTTATCAAACAGGGAAGTAACTCAATCATTGTCACTAAGATCACTGACTGTTCTGTTTATCAGACAGGGAAGTAACTCAATCATTGTCACTAAGATCACTGACTGTTCTGTTTATCAAACAGGGAAGTAACTCAATCATTGTCACTAAGATCACTGACTGTTCTGTTTATCAGACAGGGAAGTAACTCAATCATTGTCACTAAGATCACTGACTGTTCTGTTTATCAAACAGGGAAGTAACTCAATCATTGTCACTAAGATCACTGACTGTTCTGTTTATCAGACAGGGAAGTAACTCAATCATTGTCACTAAGATCACTGACTGTTCTGTTTATCAAACAGGGAAGTAACTCAATCATTGTCACTAAGATCACTGACTGTTCTGTTTATCAAACAGGGAAGTAACTCAATCATTGTCACTAAGATCACTGACTGTTCTGTTTATCAAACAGGGAAGTAACTCAATCATTGTCACTAAGATCACTGACTGTTCTGTTTATCAAACAGGGAAGTAACTCAATCATTGTCACTAAGATCACTGACTGTTCTGTTTATCAAACAGGGAAGTAACTCAATCATTGTCACTAAGATCACTGACTGTTCTGTTTATCAAACAGGGAAGTAACTCAATCATTGTCACTAAGATCACTGACTGTTCTGTTTATCAAACAGGGAAGTAACTCAATCATTGTCACTAAGATCACTGACTGTTCTGTTTATCAAACAGGGAAGTAACTCAATCATTGTCACTAAGATCACTGACTGTTCTGTTTATCAAACAGGGAAGTAACTCAATCATTGTCACTAAGATCACTGACTGTTCTGTTTATCAAACAGGGAAGTAACTCAATCATTGTCACTAAGATCACTGACTGTTCTGTTTATCAAACAGGGAAGTAACTCAATCATTGTCACTAAGATCACTGACTGTTCTGTTTATCAAACAGGGAAGTAACTCAATCATTGTCACTAAGATCACTGACTGTTCTGTTTATCAAACAGGGAAGTAACTCAATCATTGTCACTAAGATCACTGACTGTTCTGTTTATCAAACAGGGAAGTAACTCAATCATTGTCACTAAGATCACTGACTGTTCTGTTTATCAAACAGGGAAGTAACTCAATCATTGTCACTAAGATCACTGACTGTTCTGTTTATCAAACAGGGAAGTAACTCAATCATTGTCACTAAGATCACTGACTGTTCTGTTTATCAAACAGGGAAGTAACTCAATCATTGTCACTAAGATCACTGACTGTTCTGTTTATCAAACAGGGAAGTAACTCAATCATTGTCACTAAGATCACTGACTGTTCTGTTTATCAAACAGGGAAGTAACTCAATCATTGTCACTAAGATCACTGACTGTTCTGTTTATCAAACAGGGAAGTAACTCAATCATTGTCACTAAGATCACTGACTGTTCTGTTTATCAAACAGGGAAGTAACTCAATCATTGTCACTAAGATCACTGACTGTTCTGTTTATCAAACAGGGAAGTAACTCAATCATTGTCACTAAGATCACTGACTGTTCTGTATATCAAACAGGGAAGTAACTCAATCATTGTCACTAAGATCACTGACTGTTCTGTTTATCAAACAGGGAAGTAACTCAATCATTGTCACTAAGATCACTGACTGTTCTGTTTATCAAACAGGGAAGTAACTCAATCATTGTCACTAAGATCACTGACTGTTCTGTTTATCAAACAGGGAAGTAACTCAATCATTGTCACTAAGATCACTGACTGTTCTGTTTATCAAACAGGGAAGTAACTCAATCATTGTCACTAAGATCACTGACTGTTCTGTTTATCAAACAGGGAAGTAACTCAATCATTGTCACTAAGATCACTGACTGTTCTGTTTATCAAACAGGGAAGTAACTCAATCATTGTCACTAAGATCACTGACTGTTCTGTTTATCAAACAGGGAAGTAACTCAATCATTGTCACTAAGATCACTGACTGTTCTGTTTATCAAACAGGGAAGTAACTCAATCATTGTCACTAAGATCACTGACTGTTCTGTTTATCAAACAGGGAAGTAACTCAATCATTGTCACTAAGATCACTGACTGTTCTGTTTATCAAACAGGGAAGTAACTCAATCATTGTCACTAAGATCACTGACTGTTCTGTTTATCAAACAGGGAAGTAACTCAATCATTGTCACTAAGATCACTGACTGTTCTGTTTATCAAACAGGGAAGTAACTCAATCATTGTCACTAAGATCACTGACTGTTCTGTTTATCAAACAGGGAAGTAACTCAATCATTGTCACTAAGATCACTGACTGTTCTGTTTATCAAACAGGGAAGTAACTCAATCATTGTCACTAAGATCACTGACTGTTCTGTTTATCAAACAGGGAAGTAACTCAATCATTGTCACTAAGATCACTGACTGTTCTGTTTATCAAACAGGGAAGTAACTCAATCATTGTCACTAAGATCACTGACTGTTCTGTTTATCAAACAGGGAAGTAACTCAATCATTGTCACTAAGATCACTGACTGTTCTGTTTATCAAACAGGGAAGTAACTCAATCATTGTCACTAAGATCACTGACTGTTCTGTTTATCAAACAGGGAAGTAACTCAATCATTGTCACTAAGATCACTGACTGTTCTGTTTATCAAACAGGGAAGTAACTCAATCATTGTCACTAAGATCACTGACTGTTCTGTTTATCAAACAGGGAAGTAACTCAATCATTGTCACTAAGATCACTGACTGTTCTGTATATAAACAAGGGAAGTAACTCAATCATTGTCACTAAGATCACTGACTGTTCTGTTTATCAGACAGGGAAGTAACTCAATCATTGTCACTAAGATCACTGACTGTTCTGTTTATCAAACAGGGAAGTAACTCAATCATTGTCACTAAGATCACTGACTGTTCTGTTTATCAGACAGGGAAGTAACTCAATCATTGTCACTAAGATCACTGACTGTTCTGTTAATCAGACAGGGAAGTAACTCAATTATTGTCACTAAGATCACTGAATGTTCTGTTTATCAGAAAGGGAAGTAACTCAATCATTGTCACTAAGATCACTGACGGTTCTGTTTATCCAACAGGGAAGTAACTCAATCATTGTCACTAAGATCACTGACTGTTCTGTTAATCAGACAGGGAAGTAACTCAACCATTGTCACTAAGATCACTGACTGTTCTGTCTATCAAACTGGGAAGTAACTCAATGATTGTGACTAAGATCACTGACTGTTCTGTATATAAACAAGGGAAGTAACTCAATCATTGTCACTAAGATCACTGAATGTTCTGTTTATCAGAAAGGGAAGTAACTCAATCATTGTCACTAAGATCATTGACTGTTCTGTTTATCAAACAGGGAAGTAACTCAATCATTGTCACTAAGATCATTGACTGTTCTGTTTATCAAACAGGGAAGTAACCCAATCATTGTCACTAAGATCACTGACTGTTCTGTTTCTCAAACAGGGAAGTAACTCAATCATTGTGACTAAGATCACTGACTGTTCTGAATCATTGTCACTAAGATCACTGTCTGTTCTGTTAATCAGACAGGGAAGTAACTCAACCATTGTCACTAAGATAACTGACTGTTCTGTTTATCAAACAGGGAGGTAACTTAATATATTTAAATATAGCTATTTCTGATTAGGAAATTACGTTTCAAGTAACTCAATCATAGTCACTAACATCACTGACTGTTCTGTTTATCAGTCAGGGAAGTAACTCAATCATTGTCACTAAGATAACTGACTGTTCTGTCTATCAAACTGGGAAGTAACTAAATGATTGTGACTAAGATCACTGACTGCTCTGTATATAAACAAGGGAAGTAACTCAATCATAGTCACTAACATCACTGACTGTTCTGTTTATCAGACAGGGAAGTCACTCAATCATTGTGACTAAGTTCACTGACTGTTCTGTTTATCAGACAGGGAAGTAACTCGACCATTGTCACCAAGATCACTGACTGTTCTGTCTATCAAACTGGGAAGTAACTCAATGATTGTGACTAAGATCACTGACTGCTCTGTATATAAACAAGGGAAGTAACTCAATCATTGTCACTAAGATAACTGACTGTTCTGTTTATCAAACAGGGAAGCAACTCAATCATTGTCACTAAGATCACTGACTGATCTGTATATAAACAAGGGAAGTAACTCAATCATAGTCACTAACATCACTGACTGTTCTGTTTATCAGTCAGGGAAGTAACTCAATCATTGTCACTAAGATCACTAACTGTTCTGTTAATCAGACAGGGAAGTAACTCAATTATTGTCACTAAGATCACTGACTGTTCTGTTTATCAAACAGGGAGGTAACTCAATATATTTAAATATAGCTATTTCTGATTAGGAAATTACGTTTCAAAATCAAATACTTGTTCGAATACTTTTTTTTGTTTTAACGTTTATTTTTTATTTAACCTTTTATCCCCTCAAATAAATATAATTACCAATATAAGCCCTTGCTTAAAGGAGGCATTAACTAGCCTCCAGATTTATTCTTTCAATTTTTACATTTAACTGTATTCATAAATCGTATTTATTTTATGTTTAACTATCAATTGTGATGAGTATGAAAATTAGTGTCGGGTATTAAAGTGTTTTTTTCGTTTATGAAATTGAATTGAATATATATACATTGATCTGTCATGGACCAAGCTCAACTAAATGTAATCATAAATCATAGTTGAAAGTAAACACAAAAGTCTAAATAAAATATGAACATTATACAAAGCGAATATATGAAGTATTTACACTACATGTGTTGTGTAACTTCTGCATTGATTACCCAATCCCCCCCCCCCTACCTCCACCCCCCCTTAACTGACTGGAAAGTTGAAAATCTTTATTTTTAACAGATTCTGTGTTGAACACGTACCTAGACTACAGTCGAGGGGTGGCGCTGGAAGTGCTCGAACAAAATTCAAACAGTCTCTATCAAAGAATTCGTCATTGTCAGCTACAGGGATATGGAAACAGTTCCTCCTGTAAATAAACATGTTCGAATCAAAAATAGTTTTCTATATAAATATGGTATTTAGAAAATATTATTCATCTGATTTCGTAAGACTTTGATGTTAAATCAAAGTTTTTATTTACTCTCGTAAAATATTTTGAATCCTCAACATTTTGGGAGGTTCCTTTGTACCTTAGATGTGTCATCACATATCACACTTCAGGAAAGAACATGAATAAAATGCACTAATAATAACAACAATTGGAGGTTCTTATAAACCTCTTTATCACAACCTAGTTCGTAGGTCGTCTCGAAGCGGTTCACAAATTATTATTCGTGGTTATAGGGCCTTTGCAACCAACAGATATCTTTCTCATCCCCATGGGGAGCAAACAGCCGGTGCTGACATTTCGGCGCTCACAGTTTGCATTCAACCATTCTAGCTCTGCCCAACCACGCACTCATTTACAGCTGAGTAGACTGGAACAAGCGGAGTAACGGATGTTGTTCAAAATTGCAAAACAGTGCTGTGACGTGACTCGAACCCGTAACCCTTCGGTCACAAGCACGGCGTCCTACCACATAATTACCAGTGCAGACTCTCAGACCATCTCTAGCATAACGTCATCTCATACAACAGCCCGTCCCCACGTAATTGCTCATACGTCAGAACTTATCACCACTAATGTACAGGTCATTGTATGTGTATTTACTTGTTATAACACCATAAATCCCATTTAACCGTCGATATACAGTTAGATATCATACCTTTTTTTAAATCGACAGCAATCGAGGTTTCTGCCGCCATACCCTAAAATAAACAACCGTAAACTATAATACTCTTTTTAAACAAGGCATCACATTCACACAGTGTGTGCCATATGTATGAGGAAATGAACAGAAAATTCAATGTTGTAACAGTAACTGCTGTAGCGACTGCAGCTCTTAACGGCATTGTCATAGCAAACAATTGTTTGAAGTTTCATGACATTCCGTTGAAGAATGAATTGACTAGAGCGATGACGATATTTTTTTTCTAAAAATGGTAATAGTGACCTTGACCTTCAACGCAGTTACCCGAAACGCCAATTGTGTCCATATATTGTCATACCAAATACTTGCATGAAGTTTTATGAGATTCCGTTGAGAAATGAAGTCGCTAGAGTGATGACAAAGAGTGACATATACGTACTTAGTATGTACGTACGTACGGGCGGAATCCTTTAACCCCTCGAACTTTCGTTGCGAGGGGATAACAATGTACATAGATGGCATTCAGGAAAACAAATTGTACCGCTGTCCCATCACTCCCATTAAGCGAGAGTGTCTCTCTATGAAACGTAGGCGCGGTATAATATATTCTTTACATTTAACGTTCGTTCAATGTAGAATACTTACCTTTAGCGAGAGCGTTCATCTGAATATCGTGACTGACGAATTGTCCGAATTCCATGGCAAGGTGACTTAGCAGCTTGGCCTTGACCTTTAGATTAGTATGTACCTCCAAACTTATGTTGCGTGCGGAGGGAAGTGGAGAGAACAGACCCCGGGTTCTTGGCGAATTGACTCCTGAAAATACAGATGATGGTACAATACACTTATGCTGTACCTAAATCAATATATTAAACACAATGTTGGTATTATGCATTACACTGTACCTAAATCAATAAACTAAACACAATGCTGGTGTAATACATTACACTGTACCTTAATCAACTAACTTAACATAATGTTGGTCTAATCCATTACACTGTACCTAAATCAATAAACTAAACACAATGCTGGTGTAATACATTACACTGTACCTTAATCAACTAACTTAACATAATGTTGGTCTAATCCATTACACTGTACCTAAATCAATAAACTTAGCATAAGTATGCAGATTAATCGAAGAGAAGTAACATTTCTAGTATATATTACCGTCATCGTATGCGGGAGGGAGAAATCGTTCAAACGCTGTGAAGGCCCTGCCCCATAGAGGATTATTCACGTTGTTGCACGACCCGTCGATTGACCGGTACTCATAGCTCGAGTTACATGACGGCCTAACGAAGGGACACTTCCGTCTGGCTGGGACTAGGAAAGTAGTGCCGACTTTACTGAGAGCCTGCTGAATCTGTGGCCTTGCCTGGTTGCTCAGTCTAAAAAAATCAAATTATAGTGGATGAAGTATGACGAATGAGCAACATTTGTTTGCGGATGTGTCCCACGTGTGAGACTACGTGCAGTAATGACGCGGCTACGGTGTACATTATACAATCTTATATCGGAATCATTTAAGTCATGATAACGTAGAGAATATCATTAAGTGAACAATTAAGTCAGGATAACGTAGAGAATATCGTTAAGTGAACAGTTAAGTCAGGATAACGTAGAGAATATCGTTAAGTGAACAGTTAAGTCAGGATAACGTAGAGAATATCGTTAAGTGAACAGTTAAGTCAGGATAACGTAGAGAATATCGTTAAGTGAACAGTTAAGTCAGGATAACGTAGAGAATATCGTTAAGTGAACAGTTAAGTCAGGATAACGTAGAGAATATCGTTAAGTGAACAGTTAAGTCAGGATAACGTAGAGAATATCGTTAAGTGAACAGTTAAGTCAGGATAACGTAGAGAATATCGTTAAGTGAACAGTTAAGTCAGGATAACGTAGAGAATATCGTTAAGTGAACAGTTAAGTCAGGATAACGTAGAGAATATCGTTACGTGAACAGTTAAGTCATGATAACGTAGAGAATATCGTTAAGTGAACAGATAAGTCAGGATAACGTAGAGAATATCGTTTGTGAACATGTATGTCCTGATAAATCAATATCCTTATTGTAATGATGGTATAATATATTTTACTGTACCTAAATCAATAAGCTAAACATAATTTTGGTGTAATACATTACACTGTAATAGTATATTGTGTGTTTATTAGGGCTTTTCACCAAAGTGAAAAAAGCTATTTTTTTGTTTGGCTGCTTTTTCTCGGTACTAATATTGTTCTGCCATAATTTTGTGGCCTCTTAATCTTTTGATTGGTAGCAGGTATGTTCAAAGTCGTTCATGTATATTATAGGTCATGATTGGAAGGTGTCATTGCAACATTTTCAAGTAGGTCAAAAATCTAATATGGCCGCTATGACGTAATATGTCAAAATCTTAAAACGAACATAACTCATAAACCGTTCATTATACAGCATGTATGCAATTATATTATTTGAAAATGTAATTCGTGGCTATTATTGTTTTATTACATATTATTAGAAAAATATCAAATTTAGGTCCTTCCTGTCGGGTCAAAGGTTACCATTTTTTTTTTTTTTAATGATTTTTTTCATATTTCAAGTTGTTTAAAAAAGTATTTCGACGTCGACAGGAAAGTTCATCTTAATGAATTTGATGTCTTCACATTTTCTGTAACGTTTAATGCATAATCTTGAAGTAAGTATAGTCATAGCTGAAGAACTATATGATTTCTGCGAAGTACGGACTATCTTCGTGTATTAATTCACTGTTTCTCTGACGTCATTTCGCACACTGTGAATCCCCCACTACGCTATCAGCTTCCGTAGACTACTAAGGAATAGTTCGTGTCTGATACTTTGTATAACTGAATTTTATTGACTATTTACACAGCACATTTTGTTCCTCAATGTCGCAGCTATGCTCTTACGCATGTTCATAGATATGAATTAACTGATTGAAGCAAAAGACCATGATATAAAGGTTTGTGACCAAACCCAAAACAGTCCTAACAAGCCCGTCAAATTGTTAGCCAACAACTTCTAGTTCTGTTTGCAATTGTCACTCGTCAGTTATAGAGATACCCAGTTTTATTTGACCAAAGTAAAACGATAAGTATCTTAAGAGAATCACCTGCTTGTCGTGTCCTTGACCATCTCTACTTACCTTGCCGTGTCCTTGACCGTCTCTACTCACCTGCTTGTCGTGTCCTTGGACGTCTCTACTCACATGCTTGTCGTGTCCTTGGCCGTCTCTACTCACCTGCTTGTCGTGTCCTTGGCCGTCTCTACTCCCCTGCTTGTCGTGTCTTTGGCCGCCTCTACTGATCACCTGCTTGTCGTGTCCTTGGCCGTCTCTTCTCACCTGCTTGTCGTGTCCTTGGCCGTCTCTACTCACCTGCTTGTCGTATCCTTGGCCGTCTCTACTCACATGCTTGTCGTGTCCTTGGCCGTCTCTACTCGCCTGCTTGTCGGGTCCTTGGCCGTCTCTACTCACATGCTTGTCGTGTCCTTGGCCGTCTCTACTCCCCTGCTTGTCGTGTCCTTGGCCGTCTCTACTCACCTGCTTGTCGGGGCCTTGGCTGTCTCTACTCACCTGCTTGTCGTGTCCTTGGCCGTCTCTTCTCACCTGCTTGTCGTGTCCTTGGCCGTCTCTACTCCCCTGCTTGTCGTGTCCTTGGCCGTCTCTACTCCCCTGCTTGTCGTGTCCTTGGCCGTTTCTACTCACCTGCTTGTCGTGTCTTTGGCCGTCTCTACTGATCACCTGCTTGTCGTGTCCTTGGCCGTCTCTACTCACCTGCTTGTCGTGTCCTTGGCCGTTTCTACTCACCTGCTTGTCATGTCTTTGGCCGTCTCTACTGATCACCTGCTTGTCGTGTCTTTGGCCGTTTCTACTCACCTGCTTGTCGTGTCCTTGGCCGTCTCTAACATGAGGTCAGCAAACTCGGCCAGTGCCGTGGCCTGCGGACTGGTCTGAAGATGTGGACCGAACCCAGGTGTGGCGCTGTCCACCGTATCAAATACTGTAAACACAGCATGGTGTTACAATGGGTAAATGTTAACGCCATTATAAAGATATATAGAATGTGGTGTGTTAAACAGACGTTTCTTTATACAGAACGATAAATACATACACTGTTCATATTTGTTATACAGGACTATTAGGAGGACACATCCTCTACTATATTTGTTATTCATGACTGTTAGGAGTACAAACCCTTTATATTTGTTATTCAGGTCTATTAGGAGGACACACCCTCTTTATTTGTTATTCAGGTCTATTAGGAGGACACACCCTCTATATTTGTTATTCATGACTGTTAGGAGGACAAACCCTTTATATTTGTTAGTCAGGGCTGTTGGGAGGACACACCCTCTATATTTGCTATTCAGTGCTATTAGGAGGACACACCGTCTATATTTTTTATTCAGGGCCAAAAAAATGGTTATTCATATTTCATCCATTCAAGATGTATCACCAAATTAATTAATTAATGGTCAAGCAGAACAATATAAGATAATAACAGATTACCTCGTTGTTTGACTTCGCTCCGCTTTGCTGTTGCAAGTGTGTCGAGAGCTTGGTTCACTGACAGTTGAATAACTGATGCAGCTGCTGGGTTATTTAAAACACCGGAACCAATGCTTGAAAAGGTTTTTTGAATGGTTGGTAAACCTCTGGCTAGCACAGGTGGAACCGGTTTACCCGCTCTGGCTAGCACGGGTATGACCGGTTTACTCACTCTTGCTGCAGACGGAACATCAATGGTCCCGGTAAGAAAGGCGTTAGTATTGAGTGAAGCCAACGCCGCACTCGCTCCTGAAAACCCCAGCAGCAAGGACAGGAGTGCGTATAGCGTTCTAGAATAGAAATCAAAAAGGTAAAAACACGAAAAATATATATAATAACCCTAACAACAATAGAACATTAGGCCACATCATCGATCCAAAAACAGCAAACTTTTCATCTGAATTTTGCCACACAAGACAAAAATATACCGGTATGATAACAAACTAGTAACGAAGAGCTTCACACAATGACGTAATTATCCCATAATCGCCATCACATAGTATAAATGTGGGTGTTTTTTAAATGGATAACACGCTTTAATATTCTTTGTTGAAATAAACCGGTACTTCTTTAATTTTCGAAATTCATATAACTTAGTGCTTTACGCATCTTCGATAAACATAAAAGTTCTGTCAGGTATAATTCCTAGCATGATTTTTTTTTTATCAAAAGGAATATCACGGAGGAAAAAAGTTTTCAGTGCATTTTTACCTTTTCTGACAGTGGAACTAAGATCCGAAAGTGAATCCATTTCAGCATGCTTTCGCTTTGCCCATTATCTTACATAGTCTAACAAAGAATCAATGAGTCCCTAGAAACTTACTTTCCTATTTATAGTTGTAGTCCTTCGGACCTTTCTTGAAAAGCTCTCATAGCTTTGCATTCATAATTATATTGAGATCGCCAGGTACTTTGTGTCTAGCCAGGGCATTGTCTGTCGTTTTATATCACAAGAATATACCGAAGGATGAGTTAATCTAAGTTGATTTAAAAACAACTGCTGTAGTGTGTGTATGTCGCCGGAGAATTTAGATCAATCTAGAGAATACGAAAGGAGTTACAAAACCCCAGCTAAAAATTAAACTGCTAACTAAAGAAGGACCTGTGGTTATTGAAAATATTATTTTTTCACACTATACTATTAATGTGTTTAGGTATGTGTGATTGCATTGTGAAGGATTAGGTGAGAATTGTGTTGAGATTAAAAGTGCACATTTTTATTTTTTAACTTTGAAAGTGACGCGGTAAATACAGAATACAGAACGGAACTTAAACAAAATAAATACAACAAAGGTTTACAAAAGCAAATACTATCTATAAAATTAATAAATATTGATACATTAGTACGATGTGATGACAATTTCAATTATTGGGATTAATGCGTCCTTGTGACTATTATTTTACAGCATACCTCGGGAACAAAGGCAATGATCAGCTGAGTCTACCATATTGTATATCTAAGATAGAGGCACGAGACGCACGCGTATGATTGCACCTATAACAGTATGTGGCAGAAAACCTGATGGTACTTCNGCTGTAGGAACTAGTGGGGCTGTATGGGCTAGTGGGGGCTGAAGGGGCCAGTGGGGGCCAGTGGGGGAGGAAGTGGAGTAGGGGCGGCTGTAGGAAAACCACAAATGTCAACCGTGAACGAACCCTCAAGATTCATTATGATTCACAATATAAAAGTTAGTTATTTATAGGAAACAGGGCAAACGTTTGATTTCATAGTTAATAAGACAATAAAGATATATTAATATTCATGTTGGGTACAACGACTGGTGAATAAAACACAGACCGAAATACTGTTTTAAACTGTTTGTGAGTCATGACCCAGTAACGGTAATGCTGTATTTGTCAAAACAGTTCTAAATCATTTACACAAATATTAACTCGTATTTTTCCGTTCGATTGATGGTACACTGTATTCCGTTTAAACATCAATTATCACCAAATGTTTAAATAACGGATTAAATTGCTACAACCTACCAATTCCGTCCCGCGTCATACGTTAACAATGACATCATCAAAACGGAAAACAGACATATATATAACAACATTTCAATTATTGCCGACTTTAACAAAGTCATGTATACTTCTTAAACTGTAATTGAGGTCCACCGAAAGATGTGCATATATATTACCGGACAAAAATAGTTCTCAAGACATTCTATTTTTGCTGCAGGACATGCCCTTCATCGGTGAAAATTGGCTCGCAAAGCAAACACTTTTTTATGTATAACAAATACATCCGGGAAAGACACTTGCCATTCAATCATTTTTTTGTTATCACAAAATAAAACCCGATATATGTTTTTTAGCAGTGTAAACGACTTACCTTCTTGTCATGTAAAGTTGCATTTTGTCTAACTGCAGTAGACAGAACTATACTTGTGTTTCAATCAAGCGATCCTTTTATACTGCGTTGGCTGACGTCATAAGATTTGTTGATATACAAGTTTTCTTAGAATCCTTTAATTTGCATTCTTGTTGGGTTTACCTGTATACAAAGTATGGTAACTTTGTCCAAGGGGAAATACTAGTAACAAACTAAAGCATTCGCTGTGATACTCAGAAGTTACTTAGTTCAACCGATCAGAATTTTCCCTTTTTGATCAGTCTTTATATAACACTTCAAAGTTGTCTGTTTAAATTAGACTGAGCTATATATTATTTAATAATTATATATATAGTGTTGATTAAATAACCCAGAGGCCCCATAGAGATATTTGCATATGTCATCGACAACACACTAATTGGGACGTGTAATGCGTCACGTCCTTACCTGTACTTTCCAGGTAGCCGAGCTACCATTAGCTATAACTGATAAATTGATATTATGTTAATGACAATGTGGTTATTTTCATACCAATTTACATTAAAAGTTCATTGATGATAGTAATCGATCATATGGATTTCGTTTATTGTTTTTTAATTTCAAAATTCAAGTTCAGTTTTTGTTTTTTTATTAGCGAGGAGATAAAACTATTATTCAAAGATGCGTAAACACTGTTAAGCCGCGGTCACATCTTGCGGTCACGCACGTAGTTGATCGTAGTGGGGGATGCCCCTAGTTGACTTTAGTAGACCGTAGTGGGGGATGCCCCTAGTTGACTGTAGTAGACCGTAGTGGGGAATGCCCCTAGTTGACTGTAGTAGACCGTAGTGGGGGATGCCCCTAGTTGACCGTAGTAGATCGTAGGTGACCTTAGGTAAACGTATTACACGTAGCTAGACGTAGTTCAACGTAGTTATGAACATAGTTTGAACTAAGAGAAACCCATGATTTGGCCAAAAACTGTCAACATGTTCAAAATATATCTACTGTGAGTGTTGATGCCAAGACCCTACTGTGACAATAGATTGAACGTAGTTGACCCTAGTTAACCTTAGTTGACCTTAATTGACCCTAGTTGACTGTAGTGTTTACCGTACTTGACCGTCGTAACATGGCACTACGGTTAAAACTACGGTCAAGGAGGGTCAACTACTAGGGTTGGACTACGATTGAAGTACGCAGTGGCGGATCCTGAGTTTTTTTTAAAAAATCATGTATTTTCACCATTTTCCTCGATTTTCCCCCACATGGCAACCCCAATGGGATTTTGACACCCCCCCCCCCCCACCCCCCCCCCCCCCCCAACCCAACCCAACCCAACCCAACCCAGAACGTTCATAGTACTGTCTGTTAAGTAGGTTAAAATATGTTCACAGTATTGTTAAGTACGGTTATCTAGGGTCAACGAGGGTTAAGTAGTGTTAAATGATGTTGAATTTAGAAGTTAGGGTTAGGCAACTACGTCTAACCACGTTTAATATTATACCTACTGTACGGTGTACATGTACTTTATAGCTACAGTCAACTAAATTGTACGTATACGGTCATCCCCCAATACAGTCAACTTCATGCGTGACCGTAAGAGGTGACCGCGGTTTAAGTATTAATGGTTGGTTGTTACTATTTTACATAAAGGCTATCATTGTTACCCTTTTAGATAAAGACTATCACACACAAACTAATTGTTGATTATTGCCTTTCACATTGCCCTCTTTATTGTACGAAGTCATTGTTTTCATCCCGACAGGTATGTCATAATAGACATTGAGGTTTATGTATTGTCTACGTTTTGTCTGTACATCCTCAAACATATACAGCCTTCCTCGTGTTCTGATTGGCTCCTATCCCTGTAGGTCAGATGATCAGTATGTCAGTGTATAGTTGTTGTTTCGTATCAACCCTATCCCGTTTATATTATCTAGGTAGTGGGCTAGCGTTATGTGTGAGTGAACAGCGAACACTTCAGCTCTCTCCCTACTCTGCTGGCAGTTTTAAACATAAAACTTTAACGAGATGAACACTATTGATCCTACTACATAAAACTGTATTTTACAGTTTCAGCACACCTGGTTGTTAGCTGTGAATTAGCATTGAGCCAGTACATCTAAGATTAAATATTGTCACACATTTAACTCTAGTAAACTGTAATTTTCCTTTTATTAACATTTTGCTATACTAGTGTTAATCACTTGATACATTTTCCGTATTCTTCTGTTTAAAATATCAACCTAAACTTTATTCTGATGACAAATCTATCAAAAATTGTCAACTTATTCCGTATAGGTTAAGTCACATAAGTCTCCAATCCTGATACTATTAACCAACTCTCCAATCATGATACTATCTAACTAGTTACCAATCCCTATACTATTAACCTACTCTCCAATCCTGATACTATTAACCTACTCTCCAATCATGATACTATCTAACTAGTTACCAATCCCTATTCTAATCACCTACTCTCCAATCCTGATACTATTAACCTACTCTCCAATCCTGCTACTATTAACCTACTCTCCAATCAAGATACTATTTAACTAGTTACCGGTCCTGAGACTAATAACCTACTCTCCTATCCTGATACCATTAACCTACTCTCCAATCTTTATACTATTAACCTACTCTCCAATCCTGATACTATTAACCTACTCTCCAATCATGATACTATTTAACTAGTTACCAATCCCGATACTATTAACCTACTATCCAATCCTGATACCATTAACCTACTCTCCAATCCCGATACCATTAACCTACTCTCCAATCCTGATACAATTAACCTACTCTCCAATCCTGATACCATTAACCTACTCTCCAATCATGATACTATTTAACTAGTTACCAATCCCGATACTATTAACCTACTCTCTAATCCTGATACTATTAACCTACTCTCCACTCCTGATACTATTAACCTACTCTCCAATCATGATACTATTTAACTAGTTACCAATCCTGATACTATTAACCTACTCTCCAATCCTGATACAATTAACATACTCTCCAATCCTGATACTATTAACCTACTCTCCAATCATGATACTATTTAACTAGTTACCAATCCCGATACTATTAACCTACTCTCCAATCCTGATACCATTAACCTACTCTCCAATCCTGATACCATTAACCTACTCTCCAATCCTGATACCATTAACCTACTCTCCAATCCTGATACTATTAACCTACTCTCCAATCCTGATACTATTAACCTACTCTCCAATCATGATACTATTTAACTAGTTACCAATCCCGATACTATTAACCTACTCTCCAATCCTGATACCATTAACCTACTCTCCAATCCTGATACTATTTACCTACTCTCCAATCATGATACCATTAACCTACTCTCCAATCCTGATACCATTAACCTACTCTCCAATCCTGATACTATTAACCTACTCTCCAATCCTGATACTATTAACCTACTCTCCAATCATGATACTATTTAACTAGTTACCAATCCCGATACTATTAACCTACTCTCCAATCCTGATACCATTAACCTACTCTCCAATCCTGATACTATTTACCTACTCTCCAATCATGATACCATTAACCTACTCTCCAATCCTGATACCATTAACCTACTCTCCAATCCTGATACTATTAACCTACTCTCCAATCCTGATACTATTAACCTACTCTCCAATCATGATACTATTTAACTAGTTACCAATCCCGATACTATTAACCTACTCTCCAATCCTGATACCATTAACCTACTCTCCAATCCTGATACTATTTACCTACTCTCCAATCATGATACCATTAACCTACTCTCCAATCCTGATACCATTAACCTACTCTCCAATCCTGATACTATTAACCTACTCTCCAATCCTGATACTATTAACCTACTCTCCAATCATGATACTATTTAACTAGTTACCAATCCTGATACTATTAACCTACTCTCCAATCCTGATACCATTAACCTACTCTCCAATCCTGATACTATTAACCTACTCTCCAATCATGATACTATTTAACTAGTTACCAATCCCGATACTATTAACCTACTCTCCAATCCTGATACCATTAACCTACTCTCCAATCCTGATACTATTTACCTACTCTCCAATCATGATACCATTAACCTACTCTCCAATCCTGATACCATTAACCTACTCTCCAATCCTGATACTATTAACCTACTCTCCAATCCTGATACTATTAACCTACTCTCCAATCATGATACTATTTAACTAGTTACCAATCCTGATACTATTAACCTACTCTCCAATCCTGATACAATTAACCTACTCTCCAATCCTGATACTATTAACCTACTCTCCAATCATGATACTATTTAACTAGTTACCAATCCCGATACTATTAACCTACTCTCCAATCCTGATACCATTAACCTACTCTCCAATCCTGATACTATTTACCTACTCTCCAATCATGATACCATTAACCTACTCTCCAATCCTGATACCATTAACCTACTCTCCAATCCTGATACTATTAACCTACTCTCCAATCCTGATACTATTAACCTACTCTCCAATCATGATACTATTTAACTAGTTACCAATCCTGATACTATTAACCTACTCTCCAATCCTGATACAATTAACCTACTCTCCAATCCTGATACTATTTACCTACTCTCCAATCATGATACTATTAACCTACTCTCCAATCCTGATACCATTAACCTACTCTCCAATCCTGATACTATTAACCTACTCTCCAATCATGATACTATTTAACTAGTTACCAATCCCGATACTATTAACCTACTCTCCAATCCTGATACCATTAACCTACTCTCCAATCCTGATACTATTTACCTACTCTCCAATCATGATACTATTAACCTACTCTCCAATCCTGATACCATTAACCTACTCTCCAATCCTGATACTATTAACCTACTCTCCAATCCTGATACTATTAACCTACTCTCCAATCATGATACTATTTAACTAGTTACCAATCCCGATACTATTAACCTACTCTCCAATCCTGATACCATTAACCTACTCTCCAATCCTGATACTATTTACCTACTCTCCAATCCTGATACTATTAACCTACTCTCCAATCATGATACTATTTAACTAGTTACCAATCCCGATACTATTAACCTACTCT